TCTTCTGTGAGTGACCACTTTGCCCTTCTGAGTTAGCACTCTGCCCCCGTGAGTGAGCACTCCCCTCATGAATGAGCCCTCCCCCTGTGAGTGTGAGTAAGAACTCTTCTCCTGTGAGTGACCACTCTGTCCTCTGTGATGGAGCACTCTCCTCATGAGTGAGCACTCCCTCTGTGATTGATCACTTTGCCCGTGTGTGAGCATTCCCCTCTGAGTCTGAGAGATTTCTCCCCTGTGAGTGAGCACTCCACTCCCATGAGTATTCCCCCTGTGATTTGGGATGAGCACTTACCACGTGAGTGAGCACTCCCCTTGAGATTGAGCACTTCATCCTGTGACTGATCAGTACCACTGTCAGTGTGTACTCCCCCAAAGAGTGAGCACTTTCCCTGTGAGTTAGAACTCCCCGCTGTGAGGGAGCACTCCAACCCGCAGTAGTAATCACTCCCCCAAGGAGGGAGGAAGCCACCCATGAGTGAGAACAAGCCCCTGCGAGTCATCACTCCACCCCCATGACTGAACACTCCCACCTGTGAGTGACCACTGCACCCATAGATCGAGCACTCCCCCTGTGAGTGAACACTCCCCCTATGGGTGAGCACTCCAGCCTTAGTGAGTTAGTACTCTGATCCCGTGAGTGAGCACTCCATCAACCCCATCACGTAGCACCCTGCCCTCATCAGTGAGCATCATCCCCATCAGTGAGCACTATCCCCATCGGTGAACACTTCGCCTCGTGTGAGTGAGCATTAAACCCGTGAGGGTGCAGCCCCTTTGACTGAGCACTCTGCCATGAGTGAGCACTCCCCCGTTAGCAAGCAGTCCACCCATGAGTGAGCACTCCACCTTTGACTAAGCACTCATTCCCACCGTCAGTTAGCACTCTACCTCCGTGAATGAGCACTCCCCCAGTGAGTGAGCACTCCCCCAATGAGTGTGAACTCCCTCTGTGAGTGAGCACTCCGTCTGTAAGTACTCGATCCTGTGAGTGAGCACTCCGCCCCATGTGAGCACTACCATCCTGAGCATTCCCCCTGTGAGTGAGAACTCCTCCCATGAGTGAGCACTCCCCCCAAGAGTGAGCACGCCCCCTGTCAGTGACCACTCTGCCCCGTGAGTTAGCACTCTGCGCCCATAAGTGAGCACTCCCCATGAGTGTGAGTGAGAACTCACACCTGTAAGTAAACACTGCCCCGTGTGAGTGAGCACTACCCCCCATGAGTGAGCACTCCCCTGCCATGAGAATTCCCCTCATGAGGAAGCACTCCTCCCGTGAGTGAGCACTCTGCCTGTGAGAACTCCCCCCGGTGAATGAGCACTACGCCCCATGTGAGTGAGCACTAACCCTGTGAGTGAGCACTCCCTCTGTGAGTGTGAGTGAGAACTCCCCCGTGTGAGTGAGCACCCCTCCCCTCAGGAGTGCTACTTGAGGACACAAATCACAGTCCTGGAGATCCAGTTGCTTCTTTTGTCTTTCGTAAAGATGTGATGCAATGCAGACCCAGTCTTTAGAGGGAATTGAAGTCAGGAGGACAGGAAGAAGTGGAATTACAGCACATGGACTTCTCCATCGAGTCCTACAACTCCAACCAAACTACTACTACCATTAAGGATGTTCTCGTTACAAAGTTCCTTTCCACCCACATTGCCCAGGAATCAGACTTTTGCCCTTCAGACTGAGCTAAGCAGCTACAGAGAAATGTCGGATTACATCCATGCGGTGTCCCAGCTTAGAAAGGCAGGTGAAAACTCAARAACTCACACTTCAGTAAAAGCTTCAGGAGCTGGAGAGCCCCTTAATTAAATATGCCTGTTCCTTCGCTGGGGGAACCAAAGCTTACACTTGCCAATACGTCTGCCACTGTTTACCAGCTCCCCAAAAGTTGACATTTCCTCCAAAGGAAAGTGAGTGCAGTAGAGAATTAAAACATGAATTGCTCTCTGTTGCTGCCTTCTCTCAAGCATGACTTTGGCAATTTATCTCCAAAGTCATCGGTGCCTTTAATCTTCTGAAATGACCGCTTACCTTCTGTAAAGTAGATGGGCAAAATGCTGGCAGAGAGAGGTGATTTGGCAACACTTCTGGCTTTGTTGCTGCCTGTGCCAAGTGGTCTTCCTGAGGACCACAAGTCAAAATTCCTATTTCCTCTCAAAAGGAGGAATTGCCAATTCCCTCTTGGCATTTATGAAAATCCTAGAACAAAGCTGAATCCTATTTCCCATGCASTATTGTATTTTGCCTGCAAGATAATTTGGAAAGCCATTTGGCAATACTTCCATCTGACTGCGTGTGTGACGATTTATTCTCCGCACACTTGAAAATACCAGAGATCATCTTCTTCATCACCTATTGGGACAAAATTATAGCTATAACTTATGTCAGTATGACTCTTCTTTTTTAAGAAGTTCAGCAGGGCCACACAACATTCTTCCTCAGTCTACAAAATAGGCTTTTACTCTGCTGCATGCTCTGCCGAGGAAGTCTCACCATTGTGGGGGAAGCAGATGGTCAGCTATAGGGTACAAGGCCTGATCCTCTAGGACAGCAGCGTCTCGGAAGGTCCTGGAGAAGGGGGGAGGTGCCAGAGGACTGGAAGAAAGCCAGTGTCACTCCGGTCTTCAAAAAAGGCAAGAAGGAGGACCCAGGCAACTACAGGCTGGTGAGCCTCACCTCCATCCCCGGAAAAGTGATGGAACAGCTCATCCTGGCTGCTGTCTCCAGACATGTGGAGGGGAAGAAGGTGCTCAGGAGTAGCCAGCATGGATTCACCAAGCGGAAATCATGCTTGACTAACCTGATCGTCTTCTACGAAGGAATATCTAGCTGGATAGATGAGGGCAGAGCGGTGGATGTCGTCTATGTGGACTTCAGCAAGGCTTTTGACACCGTCCTTCACAGCATCCTCCTGGGCAAGGTTTGGAAGTGTGGGATAAATGAGTGGATGGTGAGGTGGATTAGGAATTGGCTCAATTGCAGGGTGCAGAGAGTGGTWGTCAGTGGTGCGGAGTCCAGTTGGAGACCTGTAGTTAGCGGTGTCCCCAAGGGGTCAGTTCTCGGTCCGGTCCTGTTCAACTTACTCATTAACGACCTGGATGAAGGGATCGAGTGCTCCCCCAGCAAGTTTGCTGATGATACCAAACTGGGAGGAATAGCTGATAGCCCTGAGGGCTGCGCTGCCATCCAGAGGGACCTGGACACACTGGACGACTGGGTGGTGAGAAATCTCATGAAGTTCAACAAGGACAAGTGCAGGGTCCTGCCCTTGGGGAGGAATAATCCTACACACCAGGACAGATTAGGGGTGGACCAGCTGGAGAGCATCCCCGCAGAGAGGGACCTTGGCATCATGGTGGATGACATGATGACCATGAGGCAGCAGTGTGCCCTGGTGGCCCAGAAGGCCAATGGGATCCTGGGGTGCATTAAGAAGAGTGTCTCCAGCAGGTGGAGGGAAGTGATCATCCCCCTCTACTCAGCCCTCGTGAGGCCATATCTGGAGCCTGTGTCCAGTTTTGGGCTCCCCAGTACAAGAGGGATGTGGAGCTGCTGGAGAGAGTCCAGCGCAGGGCTACGAGGATGATCAGGGGCCTGGAACATCTGCCCTATGAGCAAAGGCTGAGAGAGCTGGGTCTGTTCAGCCTGGAGAAGAGAAGGCTGAGGGGGACCTGATCAGTGTCTATAAACACCTCAAGGGAGGCAGTGAGGTGGAGGGGCCAGCCTCTTTTCAGTGGTGGACAGTGATAGGACTAGAGGAAATGGCTTCAAAATGAGGCATCGGAAGTTCCACAGGAACTTAAGGAAGCATTTCTTCACTGTGAGGATGACAAAGCACTGGCACAGGCTGCCCAGAGAGGTTGTGGAGTCTCCTTCTTTGGAGATCTTTAAAACTTGCTTGGATGCAGCCCTGTGCCATGTGCTCTAGCTGTGCCTACATGAGCATGAGGGTTGGACTTGATGACCTCTGAGGTCCCTTCCAACCTTAAGCATTCTATGATTCTGTGATAATGCTTTCTTCTTTTTCCTTGAGTCTCTGTATTTCCCCTATGGGACCACGGGCTTGTTTGGAGGAAGAGGCTGTGCACATTTCTTTTGTAATAAATCTTTGGGGCAGAAACAAGGTTAAAGCAAGAATAGTGCTGGAGAAGAGGAGCAGTTGAACGGCAGACATGGTTACTTCAAATGTCAGGAGATAACACAGTGGGTTTTCCTGACTTGCAATTGCTTTCATGAGCTGCCAGGTCAGAAAGGATGTCACAGTGATACCAGAATCAAACATATAATCATAATGGGGTCTAATCAAGTAATGGTCTTTTATGCCTTTCAGAGTGAGAAAGTCCCTCAATTAACTGCCCTTAAAGCTTTCTTTGGCAAGCAGCATCCTACGGAAAGCCTGTTTTATACTATTTTATACTCTTTATACTATATTAAAATCTAACATCAATGACTTGCAAAAGTAAAAACTATCAGTCTCACCCACATACAAACGTAAATGCAGTGTTAGGAACTCATATTTCTACTGTGCCAGGCCAAAGCACAATAAATTATCCTGCCTTTAATTAACCTGCCCTTGCAGTTTTCCTCAGCAAGCAGCATTGTATGGAAAGCCTACTTTATGCCATCATCCTCTCATCTTTTATGCCTTATGCTTTGAGAAGTACAGACTTTATCACCATTTTCAGAGCGCTGACCTGTTTTAGTCCTCCCTTAGAGGTATAGATTAACCCTGATCTGCCCATGCCCTCTTTGCCAGAGGCACAATCACTCCTCATGGTCTTAATCTCTAGTCAGTGTCTATGTAAAAGGGCTATCAGCTCCCATGACATGGTAAAGTACCACTGAGGTGCATATAAAATCAAAAGTCTGGAGAAAACCGGAACATAGTCCAAAGCAAGTGGCTGAATGCAAAGAATTCCTTAAAACTTGCTGACCCATTTACGCAAGAATAACCAATGAAGTTCAATACTGATGAACATTTATTTGAAAAGTACAGAGAACACAGTCAAATGCGTGCTAAATACAATATCCTGCCTTGCTCTAAGGACCATATGAAACCATTTTTTCCCTTTTCTTTCTCCGTTCTGGAGCCCCCAATGTTAGTGATTTCCCCTCTGAAGTGGCCCGCTTCTGCCTCATCACGTGGTTCTTTATATACAGGTTGTTTCATCTTTTCATTAGCTGATATAGTAACAGCTGGGAACAGATTGATGAAGACACAAACCACCATCAACATGAGAAAGGCTAAGAGAGGAGCACCCGGCAACCTGTTGGATGAAAATTCAGTGCCTCTGAAAGCCGACACACAGTACGAGTATAAAGTCACAGTTGAGGGAATCACAATATTGTAATTCCATTCCTGCCATCCAAACCTAAGGCAGCCAAATGCCATAAATTCCAGGAACTCCACAAGGACCACAAAGGTCATAGAGGAGATTCCGGAAAGTGCTACCAAGATCAATCTTTGTGCTGGTTGCACATCATAAAAGAATTGGGAATACCTTAGGGTTTTCAAAAMTGTAAGGAATGCTAAGAAACCCACAGTAATTCTTACTGTGTGATCTAAATGAGAAACTGCATGGAAATGAATTAAATTGATGGGATGAARTAAATAAAATTTCACAATAGGTGCTCCCAACTTAAACCTTAGGACCTCTAAAAAACCAAAAAGCAATAATACTGATTTTAAACCTATGTTGATCATATTGGAACTATTCTTACTATAACCTTTCTTTTCTGGGCATATAGTGTGATAAGTGCCTCTGCAGTGTGAGTGAAGGGAAGGTTCTGAACAAGCTTACAGTGCCTCTCTCATCTCATCTGCTGTCTCCATTGCTTTATCCAACTTCACTTCAGAATAATTTACTGGAGTTAACCATGCAATGCTTTCACAATACTTTGGAAGGAATGCATTCAGAGCTGAGAAACATGATTTTCAGGGGTTGGAAAAGGAAGACATTCTTAACAAAGGAGACTGCAGATGCAAAAAGCCACTGCATGGAGGTCTCATACAATAGCCATACAATACAAGGAAAAATGATGACAGGCAAGTTATAGCCATACTTAGTGCCCAGGAGAAACAGATGCAGCCCCGGCAAAAAATGAGGTGCAATCTCTTGTGAAAGAGCAGGGAGACAGTGCTGCGGGGCTGCTTCTGCCTCTGAACATTGTTCCCTTCTAATGCCTCCTAAGGTTCCTCCCACGAATACCAGAACAAGGCAATTATGAGCATTTGCACAGGGATGGTAAGCAAAGCCCTTTCGGCTCCTACTGCTATTGCTCTCAAAAAGCTCATATCTAGTGGGTATTCTTCCTTTCTGTCAGCATGGAAGAACATAAAGTTCACAAGCAGGTTGAGGAGTAATATTGCTACATAGCATGATAACCTCTGGAGCCTGCTGAAAGTGCCAGTGCCTGTATGAGTAAAAATGGAGAACCAAAGGTGACGATCTCTTAGGTTGGCAGCAAGATTTATCAAAAAATAGTCCATTCTGCACAGATATGCTTTTGGATTCATGACAAAGAAGGTCATTTTGAGGAAGTGGTCATCCTTGCCGAGACAAGCCACCTGTGGCAAACAAAGAACCAATTCTCCTTAGTGTAGGGATTTTCAACTTTTTGCTCTGCTTAGGAACCAGCTTGGAGAAGGCCCTTGGTTATTGTGCCACACCCTCAAGACACAAATCTCTCCTAAGTCTTTCTTTGTAGTTAASMAAAAAGTATCTGTGCYTCCCKGAYGGAAAGATGGGCAGTGTGGCTGTCGCAAGCAGTGGACCTCACTTGTGCCAGCCTGGSCAACGAGCTGRAGRAAAACATCTGCAGTGGTTYCGGCTCYGAAGCGACTGCCTGTGTATAAGGTGACCAAAAAGCACACGCTATCAAAGGGCTCCTCATCTGGCAGAACGCTAATGTCGTCCTGGTTGACTTTGTCAGCTTTATCTTTTTTCACCGCCCAGAGGGCCAAAACAAGGTAGGTTAGAAAAATGACCACAACTGTTAAAAGGGTCACAGGGTTTTGAGGTATGTCCGCTATCAAAGATTTTTCCAGATCCACAGTGTTGGGTGTAACGATTACTTTGGCTGCCAGGAACCTGATGTTCAAAGTCGATGTGTTTGTCCCAGCATCTGTTACAAGTCTTTTGTGTCTCCATTTCATATCGCAGGTGCAATGCACCCTTTGCCAACTGGTATATGAGCCAAGGCTGCAGGTGCTTTCTTTCCAGTGACTGCCAACGCCATCCAGAAATAAGCACTGATCACTAAAAATGGATATGCTCACCAGTCTTGTGTTTGGATACCTTACAACATAGCGTGACAGCAGGACGACRGAGATATTATATTTACCAGCATTATCAGTACCACTTGCCTGAGCGGCAGTTCGCAAGAGTTACAGATGATGTAAGAAGCTCTAATGATACAGTCTGTAACAGAGGGCTTAGTTTTGCTTGCCACTGTTGGCTTGTTGTGAAATGCAGAAAAGGAGGCTATAGGAGAAGCATGAGTGACATTAGCACTTGCAAATACTAACACCTTGAAAGTAACTTTGAGTTTTGTAACAATCTGGATATACAACTCCCTTACTGTATTTCTCTCCACTTCAACTCTAAATCCTCCAGTTGTGTAATGCTGAGTTTTATCAGGCCCTGTTGCTACTTGAAAAGATCAGGATTGCTTATCTTCCCTAGCAATAATAACGTCTGCCCTTTCTGGCATGATTCCTCCTAGATCCCCCTTGGCCTTGGTCTCCATCATTTTGAACACCAGCACCTTTGTGGCAGTTTCAGATGTAAAACGTAACCAAGGGAGAGGGTTCTCGTCAACCTCATGAAGGGCAGTGGAAATCACAGCATTCTCTGGGCTATTCTGAAAAGTTCCCTTTTTCAGTTCTGGATAAAAGCAGCTCTTGCATTTTCTTGTGGTAGAGGAAGCATCTGTAGCATTCCAATTTTCCTTTTTGTTGAGAGTGATAGTCCATTTTCTGGTTTCCATTACAGTTTCTGTTTCTCCAGGGACTTTGCCCGGCAAAACTAGGGGAGTTAAATTTCCCTTGATAAAGGACACTCGTTTAATTCCATCAACATCGGCATTCTTCTCATGTAAAAATGAAGCTCTCAGAATGACGCGAAAGCGTCTTAGTCTTGCACTGCTTTGGATTTCTGTTTGTTCAGACTAGTGGCTCTCATTCCTTTGTGTTTTTAGCACTTTGGTTACGTCTCTCCATTTCTGAATGGCTAGCTCTTGCCATCTCCTACTTATGTCATCATTTTCCTCAGTGCCTTGAGAAATAGAAGCAACTACTTGGTTCATTTCTGTTTTGCTCCCCATCCAAATCTTCAGGGCTGCTTTCATAAGTGTTTCCTGAAAGCTTAGAAAAAAAACCTGCAGGAAAAAGGGAGCCATGATAGGCTGGTTGGCTGCTGCTACATTCTACAGTTGAGGCATTTTCCAGGTAACATAAGTCTTTCTGTTGGGATTCCAGTTCTACCACAGTTTTCAAGGCAGACCACATTCAGAAGAGGTGAGGATCCTGGCTTCACATGAACAGTTTGATCAGCGTCACTCTGTCTTGCATCTTTCCATTACGCTAGACCAAAGTCATAGATAGTATTTCCACGGAGGGTTTTTGGTGCCACTGTCTGAACTGGACCTGAAGATGTTAACCATTTCAAATTTCTCTCAGCTGCCTGACATTTCTTTCCTATACCCAATTTCATGTTTGCATAGTCGGATAGCCTTCTAGTGCAGTACCAAGTAAACCTGATGCCCTTTAGTCCTTCTACTGAATCAAGGTCCAAGGAAGAAGAGCCATCTAGAGACCACCTGTCAGAAAAACTCACTGTCCGCCATGTGCCTCCTGCAATTTTTGCAATTAGATCAGTTCTGTCGATCTGAATATAAATACTGTCTGAGCCATTGAGAACTATTTTACTCCAAAATGCAGTGATTTGGACAAGGAAATGAAACAGATACAACCCATAATCTAAAGCAGAATGGGGAACATCTATGTATATGGTATTTACACCATGCATCACTGATAAATTTATAGGGTTTGAGCAGTCTGGGATTGAGTTTGTGTCCTCAACAAGATAAATTCGCCACAAAGTTCTAATAATAAAACTGTCTTTGCAGCCCACCAGCAATCTAACAAACAGATTAAAAGATGCCCCCTTTTTATGACATGAGAGAAGTATGAACAGTGCGTGTCTGAATCACAGAATCACAGAATATTCGAGGTTGGAAGGGACCTATAGAAATCATCTAGTCCAACCTTCCCGCTCAAGCAGGCAGGCACAGCTAGAGTATGTGGCACAGGGCCCAGTACTGACCCCTGGGGGATGCCACTGGCCACAGGGCTCCAACTGGACTCCACCCCATTTATCACCACCCTCTGAGCCAGCCCTCGATCCTCGAGTCTACTCTCCTGGAGCTTCCGTATGAGGATATCATGGGAGACGCTGTCAAAAGCCTTGCTTAAGTTGAGGTAGACAACATCCACGTCTCTCCCCTTGTCCAGCCAGCCTGTCATCCCATCATAGAAGGCTATGAGGTTCATCAGACATGACTTCCCCTTGGTGAATCCCTGCTGACTGCTCCTCAACACCTTCTTCTCCTTCATATGCCTGGAGATTCTCTCTAGGATGAACTGCTCCATCACCTTTCCAGGGATGGAGGAGAGGCTGACCGGCCTGTAATTGCCCAGCTCCTCCCTCTTGCCCTTTTTGAAGACTGGAGTGACATTGACTCTCTTCCAGTTCTTGGACACTTCCCCTGTTCTCCAGGACCTCTCAAAGATGATGGAGAGAGGCTGAGCAATAACCTCGGCCARTTCCCTCAGCACTCTTGGGTGCATCCCATCTGGGTCCATAGATTTTTGAGTGGCCAATTTGTCTAAGTGATCCCTAACCCAATCCTTCTCAACCAGCGGAGGGTCTTCCTCTAGCCCATTTATACCTCTTCCACTTGAGCCCTGCAGTTCATGGGCAGTGGCCTTAGCAGTAAAGATAGAGGCAAAGAAGGCATTTAGTAACTCTGCCTTCTCGGCATCCTTCGTCATCAAGCACCCCTCCCCATTCAGCAGTGCACTAACATTTTCCCTTGTCTTCCTCTTGCTGTTGACATACTTATAGAAACCCTTCCTGTTGTCCCTGATATGCCTTGCCAACTCTAATTCCACCCGGGCTTTGGCCTTCCTCATTTCGCATCTGCATTCTCTAGCGATGGGCCTATATTCTTCCCACATGGCCTGTCCCTTCTTCCACAAGCTGTACACTCTTTTTTTCTCATTCACTTTGCCTAGCAGCTCCTTACCCATCCACACAGGTCTCCTGCCCCGCTTACTTGACTTCTTTTTCTGTGGGGATACACCAATCCTGAGCTTGGAGGAAGTGGCGCTTGAATATCAGTCGGCTCTCCTGGACCCCCTTTCCTTCTAGGACTCTGACCCAGGGGACTGCTCCAAGGAGCTCCCTGAAGAGGTCRAAGTTGGCTCTCTTGAAGTCCAGGGTAGCTATCCTACTTCTCACCCAGCTTCCTCCACGCAGGACTGTAAATTTCAACATCTCGTGGTCACTGCAGCCCAGACTGCCCCCAACCCTCATATTTCCCACTAGACCATCTCTGTTTGTTAGTATCACGTCTAGTAGCACCCATCCCCTTGTTGGCTCCTCAACCACCTGTACCAAGAAATTATCTGCGATGTTCTGCAGGAACCTCCTGGACTGTCTTTTCCTGGCTGTGTGGTTTTCCCAGCAGATATCAGGCTGGCTGAAGTCCGCCAGGAGGAGCAGGGCCCGTGATTGGGACGCTTCTTGCAGCTGCCCGTAGAAGGCTTTGTCCACTTCCTCGTCCTGGTCAGGAGACCTGTAGTAAACTCCCACCACCGTGTCGCCCCTGTTGGCTTGCCCCTTTATCCTCACCCACAGGCTCTCTACTCGCATTCCATCCTCTCCTATGCTGAATTCTATGCATTCCAGTTGCTCTCTCACAAAGAGAGCAACTCCGCCACCTCGCCTTCCTACCCTGTCCCTCCTGTAAAGCCTGTAGCCCTCCATGGCAACATTCCAGTCATGGGAGCTGTCGCACCATGTCTCAGTAACTGCAATGAGATCATGGCCCTGTAATCGCACATGCAACTCCAGTTCCTCTTGTTTATTCCCCATGCTGCATGTGTTTATGTAGAGGCATTTGAGTGGGGCTCCCAATCTGCCTCTCCTCCTTGTCGGGACAGCTGCAGCCTGACCGTGTGGGCTCTCAGAAGTTCTCGTATTTTGCCCTTTGGCCTCTTCAGTCCTAGAGGATCCTTCACAGGCCACAGCACTAGATTGCTGTGGGTGGTGTAACGGGCCATCAGGCACCATCTCGTCTGCTAATCCAAACCTGCTGAATCCAAACGTACTGTGTCTTAGAGTGCTTTTGCTGACAAGTCACCAGTGGTCCTACAGTTTTTGAGGCATAATTCTTCGCTCTGACTTGTAAAAGAGCAGGTGCCAGTCCATTCCTTGTACAGTTCACTTTTGCCACAAACCCAGCATATTTTTCAGGATCAAATGGAAAACAGAACAACAGACAAAATGTGTGTCATTACTTACATGATCATGATATGTATAAGTGTTATTCTGAACAAGATGGTCTCTCGTTGTCCCAAATACCTGCAGATTGAAAGTCCACTCACATTGTAGCATTGGATGCTGTATATTAATATATACAAGTGCTTGTATATTAATATATACAAGTACATAAAGGGGGAATGTAAGGAGGAAGGGGCCAAGCTCTTCTCAGTAGTGGCCAGTGACGGGACAAGGAGTAATGGGTGTAAGTTGCAACACAGAAGTTTCATCTCTGTATGAGGAAGAACTTCACTGTGAAGGTGACAGAGCCCTGGAACAGGCTGCCCAGGGAGGTTGTGGAGTCTCCCTCTCTGGAGGTCTTCAAATCCCACTTTGATGCTGCCCTGTCCCACATGTTCTAGGTGTCCCTGCTCGAGCAGGGGGGTTGCACTGGATGATCTCCAGAGGTCCCTTCCAACCTTAACCATTCTGTGATTCTGTGATGCTGTAATTTGAGATGAATCTATTTGTTTTGGTGTTTCCAAAGCCACTGAGGTGAGCGAGATGCCTAAATAAAATGGTAATTTGATGCCCAAATCCTTGGTATCTCTGGTAGTCTTTGGGGATGTGTGACATAGGACATTTGGGGATGTGCTGACCTAGGAAAAGCCTCTCTGACCTTGTCCCCTGAGTGCTTCTTGATAGGAAAGGGGAAGATAACTCTACATCTAGAAGTGCCAACGCTAGACACGATCCATTTAAAAAAGAGCATCTATCAGACACCGAGAATATCTTCCCTGCTTCTAAAGAGCAGCTCTGCTTTTGGTGACATGCTTGTTGCAGTGTGTTAATCTGTACATCCTTTCTTCTCAACCTTTCTGTCTAGCGTAGAGTCTTTAAAGTGCATGTTGGACATAGGGAGCAGCAATGGGAAAAGTGCTGTGAATCCCTTCTGCCTTTTTTCAACAGAGCAAGTGAAATCAGGAGTAGATAAGCTTACAGGCTTCACTAGCTCTTGATGCTGTATTTCAAGTTGTGCCTTTCATCTAGAACACACACATGAGGGCCACCGAGGCAATGTGCTCTTCTGTCAGCAGATGGGTCTTTGTGCGGCTGCTGTTTTGTTGAAGCACAACATGCATGCCARYGCTTGCAGTGCTGTAACAAGAGCGGGAGCTGATGCATCAGCAAGAGTCTAGCTCTGCATCCTCCATAAATGATAGCCATAGTTGGGTAAACCTAACCAGTCTTACCGCTTCCAATGCCTATGTTAAGCAGACATCACAGTTTGATCTCCCATAGGATCGTTACTACCAAGTATCGAGCTCAAGTCCCAATGTGCTGTTCCCCTTTATTAGCAGGGGATGCATCTTGGAGGCAAGAAGAAGGAACCCACACAGGCTGCTTGCAAGAGGACTTTGTTGCTTGCAAGCCATCGTCTTAATGGATGTAGCTGTCCTGCAGGATCAGGCCTTGTACCCTGTAGCTGACCCTCTGCTTCCCCAAGAACGGTGAGAGTTCCTTGGCAGAGCATGCAGCAGAGTAAAAGCCTATTTTGTAAACTCAGGAAGAACGTCATGTGGCCCTGGGGGAACCCCACCTGGCACAGGCAGAAGCAAAGTGAGAAGTGTCACCAAATCACCTCTCTCTGCCAACATTTTGCATTGCCAATCTCATTTACAGAAGGGAAGCGGGCATTCCAGAAGATTAAAGGTCTCCAGAAGATGATTTACTGCAATAGTTATTGCTCATTATTAATCTTTATGGTTAATGGCCATAAGCATGCAAAAGCTCTGTCACACTGCAGGTCAACTGTGCC